AGGCCCCCATGGGAGAGGGCAGCAGGGGAGGCCCCCATGGGAGAGGGCAGCAGGGGAGGCCCCCATGGGAGAGGGCAGCAGGGGAGGCCCCCATGGGAGAGGGCAGCAGGGGAGGCCCCCATGGGAGAGGGCAGCAGGGGAGGCCCCCATGGGAGAGGGCAGCAGGGGAGGCCCCCATGGGAGAGGGCAGCAGGGGAGGCCCCCATGGGAGAGGGCAGCAGGGGAGGCCCCCATGGGAGAGGGCAGCAGGGGAGGCCCCCATGGGAGAGGGCAGCAGGGGAGGCCCCCATGGGAGAGGGCAGCAGGGGAGGCCCCCATGGGAGAGGGCAGCAGGGGAGGCCCCCATGGGAGAGGGCAGCAGGGGAGGCCCCCATGGGAGAGGGCAGCAGGGGAGGCCCCCATGGGAGAGGGCAGCAGGGGAGGCCCCCATGGGAGAGGGCAGCAGGGGAGGCCCCCATGGGAGAGGGCAGCAGGGGAGGCCCCCATGGGAGAGGGCAGCAGGGGAGGCCCCCATGGGAGAGGGCAGCAGGGGAGGCCCCCATGGGAGAGGGCAGCAGGGGAGGCCCCCATGGGAGAGGGCAGCAGGGGAGGCCCCCATGGGAGAGGGCAGCAGGGGAGGCCCCCATGGGAGAGGGCAGCAGGGGAGGCCCCCATGGGAGAGGGCAGCAGGGGAGGCCCCCATGGGAGAGGGCAGCAGGGGAGGCCCCCATGGGAGAGGGCAGCAGGGGAGGCCCCCATGGGAGAGGGCAGCAGGGGAGGCCACCATGGGAGAGGACAGCAGGGGAGAGGACAGCAGGGGAGGCCACCGTGGGAGAAGGCAGCAGGGGAGAAGGGGAGGCAGAGTCAGATTCCTGAAGCCAGGTTTCAGTGACGACATGCATGTTAAAGGAATTGAAGATAAGAAGATCATGGACAGCTGTGAGCTTCTTACAGACAGAGCGGGCATTCCAGAGGGCACATGAGAAGGAAGGACTGGTTCTAGAGCAGGAACATTGATCAGTGGGGCAGCTCCTGGGGATCATTGATCAGTGAGGCAGCTCCTGGCGATCAGTGATCAGTGAGGCAGCTCCTGGGGATCAGTGATCAGTGAGGCAGCTCCTGGGGATCAGTGATCAGTGAGGCAGCTCCTGGGGATCAGTGAGGCAGCTCCTGGGGATCATTGATCAGTGAGGCAGAAGTGACGACTTTGGCTGATCTGATACAATGGCTGGTCTTACAAAAAAAAAAACTTGTGACCTCTCTGAGCCAAGGCACTGATCACTAGAACGATCCCCAGGAGCTGTCCCCCCCGTCCCTTCTCTGAATCAGTCTTCTCATTGGGATCTTTTATGAAGGTTCAGGCAGCTCCTGAGCTTCGGTTCACTTGCTTGGCAACCGACTCCGATAGTGACCCGATGATTCAATTCAGGAATCGGTTCTTTTGAATGAACTGATCAAAAAGGAACCGACTCATTTCAAAGATCTGAACTTCCCATCTCTAGTCTGTAACTTCCATAGAGACTTTCAGTCTTGGTATAGGGAGGATCGCCACCGTGTGGAGCTCAGAGGAACTGCATCCCCGAGAAAAATGTAATTGCGTTTACTATGTGTGTTTTATTATTATTATACAGGATTTATATGGCGCCTGTTTGCGCAACGCTTTACAATATAAGGAAGACGTTACAATCACAATACAATACAAGACAAGATGGTAAGGAGGGCCCCGCCCCTGAGGGGAGGGAGAAGTGATACATGATGAGGTAGCTGTGTGGGGGATGAATTGTTTGAGAATGTGAAGGTTCAGTGGTTAGGTTGAGGTGGGATCGGCTTCCCTGAAGAGTTGAGTCTTAAGGGATCGCCTAAATTTCTCTATATATCCTTATAGACGAGGTCGTTTCCACTCCCACCAAGGAAGACATAAACATATTACCTCTCGGGATGAGCGAAGGGGTTTTGGCACACAATTGAGGAAAACCTTCCAATGTGATATTCCCATTCACCCAAAGATGCCTCAGGTATTGGTGGAAATGGGTGACGTGGGTCACCCCCTCATCAGATGTACCCACCAGTGAAGAGTCCACCTGCAATAGCAGAGAATTAGGCAGATCCGCCCCATAACCCCAATGCAGATGGTCTAGGGATCTCCCCTCTCGGCATCTCCCACCTCTGACGCGAGTGGGAGTGGAAATGACCCCGTCTATGAGAATATACAGTCCATACACACACAACACAAGGCGTTTCTCGGACCTGCAGTTCCTCAGAGCTCCACAAGGTGGTGACCTCAGCTATACCGAGACAGGAAGTCTCTATGGTAAGCAGACAGGAAGTGATGTCAGGTACAGAAAAAGAAGTTCTGGGTGAGGGGTGAGTTGGGAAGACGTAGAGAGGAGACATTTCTGGAACTGGCAGCAGAGGAGGTAATAAGAAATTAACTTATATGCGTTTCCATCCTCGCCCACCATAGTCACTTTGGGTTGTCCTGAAATGTAATTCCAATACACCCCGTGGTCAGGGGTTAGGGTTGTCACCTTTTCTTCAAGCAAAACCTGAACAATCTAGTGCTGCGTGGAATTTTCTGGGGAGAATATACAGGAGACAGCCAGGAGAGAGAGCGAGGAGAGAAGTAGTTAGGAAGCCTTACACTGACTGCCAATGTAACGGAGGTATTCTCAGTGACAGCCAAAGTAACGGAGTTACATAAACTGACCAGCAATGTAACGGAGGTATATACACTGACCAGCAATGTAACGGAGGTATTCACACTGACCAGCAATGTAACGGAGGTATATACACTAACCAGCAATGTAACAGAGGTATATACACTGACCAACAGTGTAACAGAGGTATATACACTGAGCAGCAATGTAACGGAGGTATATACACTGACCAGCAATGTAACAGAGGTATATACACTGAGCAGCAATGTAACAGAGGTATATACACTGAGCAGCAATGTAACGGAGGTATTCACACTGACCAGCAATGTAACAGAGGTATATACACTAAGCAGCAATGTAACGGAGATATATACACTGAGCAGCAATGTAATAGAGGTATATACACTGACCAGCAATGTAATGGAGGTATATACACTGACCAGCAATGTAACAGAGGTATATACACTGACCAGCAATGTAACAGAGGTGTATACACTGACCAGCAATGTAACAGAGGTGTATACACTGACCAGCAATGTAACAGAGGTATATACACTGACCAGCAATGTAACGGAGGTATATACACTGACCAGCAATGTAACGGAGGTGTATACACCCAGATAGCAAGCAATTGAGCTGCAAGTTTGAAAATGACTCGCTAAACTATCGCTGACTTGGCGAGCTTCACAATTTTGTTGCACAATTACAGCAAGTCTGCATTGCAAGTCTCCAGACCAGCAAGCTTGCAGAGCTCTTGCTAAGACCTGCAGGACTCTTGCTATAGACTTGCCCAGCAAATTTGCTACAAATTCAAAAAGTGTCGCCTAGAACTTGTGCTGCCAGTGTCCTGCAAGTCTACAACCTGCCAGGAATGTGCGCAGCAAGTTAACAAAAATGACAATTTCAGCCTGCCATAAGTTTGTGGCTAGTTATCCTTGCTATCTGGGCACTGGCCAGCAATGTTACCGAGGTATATACACTGACCAGCAATGTAACGGAGGTATATACACTGACCAGTAATGTAACGGAGGTATATACCTGACCAGCAATGTAACGGAGGTATATACATGACCAGCAATGTAACGGAGGTATATACATGACCAGCAATGTAACAGAGGTATATACACTGACCAGCAATGTAACAGATGTATTCACACTGACCAGCAATGTAACAGATGTATATACAGACCAGCAATGTAACAGAGGTATATACACTGACCAGCAATGTAACAGATGTATTCACACTGACCAGCAATGTAACAGATGTATATACACTGACAAGCAAGGATGTGCACAATTTGCATAATAATTAGCAATTATTTTACACAATATTTACATATGAATGAGTCATGGCTTATTCATATGTAAATATCACAGTCGGGCCTAATTTCAGTGATCTTAATTTTGGTTGCCCCTGTTTGGCGTCCGGGTTTCAGCTGTCATGAAACCTGGACACAGCATTCAAAACCCGGACAGATGGCAACCATATCAGGAGTATGTAACGTATATAGCAACACACGCTGGGGTCAGGGGTATGTATCTCCATCCTAATATTATACAACCAATCCAGATAATTCTAAGTTATCTTTCTACAGAGACCAAATGTCCACCTCAGTGAAGATGGAGGAGGACCGGAGTCACATAACTGAGAAGATACTAAACCTCACCCTGGAGATCATGTACCTGCTGACCGGAGAGGTGAGGAGGATTCTGGGAGGTCACATGACATCGCTCTTATCTCTAATAATATAACACAGACCTGACCGGAGAGGTGAGGAGGATTCTGGGAGGTCACATGATATCACTCTTATCTCTATTAATAAAACACAGACCTGACCGGAGAGGTGAGGAGGATTCTGGGAGGTCACATGACGTCACTCCTATCTCCATTAATAAAACACAGACCTGACCGGAGAGGTGAGGAGGATTCTGGGAGGTCACATGACGTCACTCATTGCTCTACCAATACACAGACCTGACCGGAGAGGTGAGGAGGATTCTGGGATACTAACATGATATTCCTATTGGTTTCTCCATCCAGAGTTTTCCTCTTCTGAAGTCTGGTGATCATGTGACCATCACAGTGCCCCCATGTGACTCCATAAAACCCGAGAGACACAGCATGCAGAAGATTCTGGAAGTCACCAAGAAGATGATGGAGCTGCTGACAGGAGAGGTGAGCGGTGCCGGGAATTCTGGGACATGATCCAGGAACAGACAAGGGGCGTGTCTGGGTGGTGACTGTATCATTGTGTGTGTCAGGTTCCTATAAGGTGTCAGGAGGTCTCTGTCTATGTCTCCATGGAGGAGTGGGGGGATATAGGACACTGAGTAGAACAGATGAGATTTTCTGCCGTTCTGTTGGTTTAGGGTGAAGATCTGATGAAGGTGAAAGTTGAGGTTGAAGTAGAAGAGACGTATGTGAGGGATGATCAGCAATGTACGGAGGAGGCTGGAACAACAAGGACACTCCTAGAGGATGGAGCAGTGAGGACCCTCAAAGAGGAGAATGTAACAACAGCCGCACTCATAGAGGAGGAAGGAACAACAAGGACACTCATCGAGGAGGATGGAACAACAAGGACACTCATCGAGGAGGATGGAACAACAAGGACACTCATCGAGGAGGATGGAACAACAAGGACACTCATCGAGGAGGATGGAACACTGGCCACACTCATCGAGGAGGATGGAATGACAAAGACATTTAAAGAGGAGGACAGAACGATGAGGACAATCAAAGAGGAGGACACTCCTACAGAGATCAGCACAGGTGACCTATATTATATTCTTCTCTTATCTCTGCTCTGTTCCTGCACACTGATTGGTCCAGAGTAGGGCGGGATCTGAGTGATATCAGCCAATAGTAGGTTGGTAATGGTCACCTCCCTGTACTGATAGCCGTCCTGGGGCTCAGCTGGCAGTATTGGGTTGGGTGTCACTCCTAGTTCCAGTAGCACATATATGAGGACACAGATTGGGCCTTTCTTAGGTCGGTTCCTCTTCTTCCAGCAGACTTCTAGCTAAACGTGAAGAATGTTGGCACACGGTGCAGAATGTTGGCATACGTTGGGTTAGCTGCAGGGTGTTACACAGGTCCAGGGTAGTGGCGAAGCCATCCCTGAAGACCACCTTTGGAGGGTATGCTCGTCTGAAGTGAGTCACACCAAGGGTCGGTGGACATTCTTTCCTCCCCTCATTGGATATTTGACACTACTGGTGGGCGGGTCTCAGATCCGGCTTCTCAGTTGCTGGGTTTGCCGGCTTAGCTGTTGAAGACCGGGTCTTGAGGGATAGGATTCTGGCTAATTCTGTTATTCTCATACTCTTGCTGGCCCAGAGGTCCACCTCTCACTAGGTATACCATTATACCTGGAGGGCATACCTTGCCTGCTGAGAAAGGAGGTAGTTTCCACCTTGGAAGTACTCTGTGGGGTGGATTTTGCCATTTCTTCATCGGAACTGGATCAATATTTGGCCCTGAATACACTCAACTCATTCAACAGCATGTGGTCTCTCATTCCCTCGTTAAGTGTTTTGTCCATGGCGTTGCTCACGTAGCCCCACCTAGGTGCCCTCCAGCGTCGCTGTGGAATCTCAGTCTGGCACTTTCACTTCTCCGGAGAGCTCTCTTTGAAACTATTGGGGATCTCTGGCAGATCTCACAGGCAAGGTTGCTTTCCTCGTTGCTGGTAGAGTTTCGGATCTGGCAGGAACCTCCTGCTTCTTGTTCTTCACAAGGATACGGTTAGGACTAGGATGAAGGTGGTGTCTTCTTTTCATCTGAATGAGGACATGGTCCTTTCCTCCTTTTTTGTCTTGCCCTGAAACATCCTCAGGAAGTCTCTCTGAAATCTGGATGTGGGTCAGGCCGCTCGACTTTATCCTTCTTCTTCATTTCAACAATTGGATTTCCTCTCTGTCCTTCTTGAAGGACATGCTTTCTGTGTCTTCTTCCACCATCTCCAGATGGATCAGACAGGTCACTGTGCATCCCTATAGCTCGGAAGGTAACGCTCTACTAGATTTGTCAGTAGTTGTTTTCGGCATCTGCGGTGCAGATTTGTAAGGCCACCACCTGGTCCTCTGTTCTACCAGGTGGACGTTCACACATCTGCTGATGCTGGTTGGCCATAAGGTGCCAGAGACTGCTGTCCTAGGTGGGGTTCCCCTTGTTTCGGTTATAATACTGTATTGCCCACCCCTCTGTTCTGCTTGTGAAGATCCCGGTCGTCTCTGAATTGTCCCGTATTGCACTCCGAGAATCTGTATTTACTAGGAAGTGTAAAATCCTATTTCTCTCCTTTTTCCAGGACACGCCATGGAGAAACCCTCAAAGGATCCTCTGACTTTATCTCCAGGTTGTAAGATGGAAGATGAGGACATCACAGCAGATTGTGCGGGAGAAGAGACACTGAGCTCAGCTATGGATGGGGGACTTCACAGTGTGGATAGACCATGGGATCCCTCTGACTCTGAGCAACCTCGTCCTGTGGGGGATGGTGCCGGAATTCAGGGGGAGAAGACATTTTCCTGCCCCGAGTGCGGGGAAAGTTTTACCTCTGAATCGACTCTTTGTGTCCATCTGAGTTCTCACATGGGTGACAAGTATCTTTACTGTTATGAGTGCGGGAAATGTTTCCTTTATAAATTCGCACTCATTAATCATTACAGATCCCACACGGGGGAGAAGTCGTATTCCTGCCCCGATTGCGAGAGATGCTTTTCACAAAAGTGCTATCTTACCCAACATCAGAGACTGCACACGGGGGAGAGGTCGCATTCCTGCCCCGAGTGCGGGAGAAGTTTTTCGCAGAAGTGCCATCTTACCCAACATCAGAGACTGCACACGGGAGAGAAACCGTATTTCTGCCCTGAGTGCGGGAAATGTTTTTCACAGAAGTTCAACCTTACCAAACATCAAAGATCGCACACGGGCGAGAAACCTTATTTCTGCGCTGAGTGCGGGAAATCATTTTCGGCAAAGTCCGCTCTTAACTTACATAAGAGATTACACACAGGCGAGAAGCCGTATTCCTGCCCCGAGTGCGGGAAATGTTTTTCACAGAAGGCCCATCTTTCCAGTCATCAGAGTATGCACACGGGCGATAGGCCATATCCATGCAGAGAGTGTGGGAAGTGTTTTCTTCATAAATCGAAACTACTCAAACATTACAGATCTCACAAGGGGAGCAAGCCAGATTCACCCCCTGAGTGACGGAAAGGTTTTTCACAGAATATCCATCTTTCTATTTATCAGAGATTGCACAAGGGCAGGAAGCCGTATTCTTGTCCTGTTGGTGGAAAATGTTTTTTATGGGGCACAGTTTAAGGGCTAGTTCACACATCTAGCTGTACCTTCCCTATCCACCCCACCTCATCCTACATATTATGCTGCACATTCCCTTTTCCACACCCCCTCATTCTATATACCATGCTGTACCTTCCCTATTCCCCACCGCCTCATTCTATATGCCATGCTGTGCGTTCCCTTTCCCACACCTCATTCTATATACCATGCTGTACCTTCCCTATTCCACACCTCCTCATTCTATATACCATGCTGTACATTCCCTTTCCCACCCCTCCTCATTCTATATACCATGGCTGTACGTTCCCTATTCTACACCCCCTCATTCTATATTCCATGCTGTACATTCCCTTTCCCACCCCTCCTCATTCTATATACCATGGCTGTACGTTCCCTATTCTACACCCCCTCATTCTATATTCCATGCTGTACATTCCCTTTCCCACCCCTCCTCATTCTATATACCATGGCTGTACGTTCCCTATTCTACACCCCCTCATTCTATATTCCATGCTGTACATTCCCTTTCCCACCCCTCCTCATTCTATATACCATGGCTGTACGTTCCCTATTCTACACCCCCTCATTCTATATTCCATGCTGTACATTCCCTTTCCCACCCCTCCTCATTCTATATACCATGGCTGTACGTTCCCTATTCTACACCCCCTCATTCTATATTCCATGCTGTACATTCCCTTTCCCACCCCTCCTCATTCTATATACCATGGCTGTACGTTCCCTATTCTACACCCCCTCATTCTATATTCCATGCTGTACATTCCCTTTCCCACCCCTCCTCATTCTATATACCATGGCTGTACGTTCCCTATTCTACACCCCCTCATTCTATATTCCATGCTGTACATTCCCTTTCCCACCCCTCCTCATTCTATATACCATGGCTGTACGTTCCCTATTCTACACCCCCTCATTCTATATTCCATGCTGTACATTCCCTTTCCCACCCCTCCTCATTCTATATACCATGGCTGTACGTTCCCTATTCTACACCCCCTCATTCTATATTCCATGCTGTACATTCCCTTTCCCACCCCTCCTCATTCTATATACCATGGCTGTACGTTCCCTATTCTACACCCCCTCATTCTATATTCCATGCTGTACATTCCCTTTCCCACCCCTCCTCATTCTATATACCATGGCTGTACGTTCCCTATTCTACACCCCCTCATTCTATATTCCATGCTGTACATTCCCTTTCCCACCCCTCCTCATTCTATATACCATGGCTGTACGTTCCCTATTCTACACCCCCTCATTCTATATTCCATGCTGTACATTCCCTTTCCCACCCCTCCTCATTCTATATACCATGGCTGTACGTTCCCTATTCTACACCCCCTCATTCTATATTCCATGCTGTACATTCCCTTTCCCACCCCTCCTCATTCTATATACCATGCTGTACCTTCCCTATTCCACACCTCCTCATTCTATATACCATGCTGTACGTTTCAACCAGCGTACAGCGCTAGGTGAGAGAAGGAGGGGGAGGGGGGTGTCACTGCTGGTTGGGTCCCTCTAGCAGTGTCGTCTATCTTCCCCGTGCTCTTCAGCAGAAGCTTCATAGAATGTTCCATCATGGTGAGGGGGAGGAGCTAGATATGACTTGCGGATGAAGAGAAGGGGAGATCAGACTACATGACGGGACTGACCATGTCACTGCAGTAGTGATCAGTCTGCACAGGCAGCTTCATGGACTCTGGAGAGCCCCCTGCTGGAGGAAAGTGGAAGATATGACGTCTTCAGAGGGAACATTTCACATTTCCCTGATAAAGATACAAATATATGAAGACATTTTTATGATTGTGAAACAAATGAAGATGAAATGTTTCTATTCTTCTTCTCATGATATTCATTGTAAGGTGATTGATAAAAGTTCTCTTCACATTTGTATCATTAAATCTTCTTTTCTTTCCCTTTTATTCCTTCTGCTGACTCTACAAGTTCTTCTCATACTGGAGGTTTTATTCTTCTCCTCGTGTCTGAGTAGTTTTGTATCTCCGGCTCGTACTTGTTGGAGGAGCCGCCCCTCCCCCTCCTCATACATCTCGGGGGAAGGGGAGGCGGGGTTCTGTAGTATACTCCAATTATAAGGACATCGGATCATAGAGCCGTATATGATTCCACCCGGAATTCCTCCATCACAAGTTCATCAGATGACATCTAACGTAGAGAAGCTCCTCCTCCATCTTCTCTATGTACAAACCAGAGGATCAGAAAGACTACAAGCAGCCCGGTCTTCGGAGGAGTCAAGCCATGTTTATGGAACACCAACTCAAATCTCAACCAACGAAGACCTCGAGCTCCACCATTCTGCTCAGAGGGTTTTGCTGTACTATTATGTTTATATGTAATTGGGGGATCTCAGTATTTAGTGCCCCAACCTTCTCCTATCTTCTCTCATTTCACCCTCTGATAAAGTCTCACCTCACCTTATCTCAACCCCAATACCCCGACCACCTATCCCACCATCCCGGATCTCCCCCTGAGGACAGAAGGCCACTTTCTCTTAAAGAATATTAAAGAATATATCTTCCATATAGATCACACCAACATGAAAGCTCAGCAGTCACATCCCGAAGCAAGCCAGGTGTACGAGGGAGCATGAAGATGGCTTCCTGGCTAATTGGGAAGCCGGGTGGCGAGTTATTACATTCCGCCCCGGCTTCCTTAATGGGACTTTCAGGTTCGGTATCGGCGAGTACAGAAAAGAAAATGTCAGTACTCGATACCGAAAAACCGGTATCAGCGCATCCCTACCTAATAACATACGATCCCTTTCATTGGTTTCTGCTTCGTTGGTCAGTCCAAATTTGTTCCCTTAAAGAGGATAAATCCACCACTGGGGTTCAAAGAGCATTTTAAGCCATTGTCTGGGGCCTTGTGCAATAGGTTTGATGGGTCTAGGCCTCACAGATGATTGGGATAGCTGGGTTTAGGCCTGACAGATGATTGGAATAGCTGGGTCTAGGCCTGACAGATGAGTGGGATAGCTGGGTCTAGGCCTGACAGATGAGTGGGATAGCTGGGTCTAGGCCTGACAGATGAGTGGGATAGCTGGGTCTAGGCCTGACAGATGAGTGGGATAGCTGGGTCTAGGCCTGACAGATGAGTGGGATAGCTGGGTCTAGGCCTGACAGATGAGTGGGATAGCTGGGTCTAGGCCTGACAGATGAGTGGGATAGCTGGGTCTAGGCCTGACAGATGAGTGGGATAGCTGGGTCTAGGCCTGACAGATGAGTGGGATAGCTGGGTCTAGGCCTGACAGATGAGTGGGATAGCTGGGTCTAGGCCTGACAGATGAGTGGGATAGCTGGGTCTAGGCCTGACAGATGAGTGGGATAGCTGGGTCTAGGCCTGACAGATGAGTGGGATAGCTGGGTCTAGGCCTGACAGATGAGTGGGATAGCTGGGTCTAGGCCTGACAGATGAGTGGGATAGCTGGGTCTAGGCCTGACAGATGAGTGGGATAGCTGGGTCTAGGCCTGACAGATGA